TAAAATTATTAATAACAAAAAAATGAAGGGGAAAAAATGGCTCCAGGAAAAGTTCACACACAGTTTTTCAGATGATTCCAAGGATCCTGGCAGTTGATGAACTAAAGTGATTGTATCCATAATTTGGAAGAAAACTATTTCTTTTCTCAACTGTGGTGGCATTTTGTGTCTCAAGGACTTTCTGGGAGTTAATATCAGAAAGTGGACATGAACATTACCAAACTAGGCTTGGGTTGACCACTCTGAAAGCTCAATGCTTTTGTATAAAATGAAAAAAGGAAAAGATATTATTTTCTGACTGAATTCTTATAACTGTCAGCCCCTTAAAGGAATGAAATTGGAGGTTCCAAGTTTCTCCTTGGAGACAAGGATTCTGAAGCTCCGTCTCACAAACTTTGGGCATATGGCCAGGAGGGGCCAATCCTTGGAGAAGGACATCATGCTTGGAAGGGTGGAGCACAGGAGAGGAAGACTCCAGATGAGATGCATTGACGTGGTAACTGGGGCAATGGAGTTAGGCATCTCGGAGTAAGTGAGACTGGCTCAGGATATGGCAGGCTTCAGAGTTATTGTACACAGGGTCTCTGTAAGTCGCAGGTGACTCAATGGCACATACCACTACCACCACCAAGTGTTGGCTAAGGAATCCTGATGGCATAGTGGATTAAGGCCACAGTTGGCATTCACCAGCTGCTCGGCAAGAAAAAGATGAAGCAGTCTGTTTCCATAAAGATTTATACCCCTGAAGATCCCAGCTCAACACTGTCCAGTCAAGTCACTATCAACTCAGTGTCAATAGGAAGTCATGGCTGATTGTGGACAACGCTGGGCCATGGGACAGAATGAGACTCTGTGACCACATGATACTTTCCTTCTACAGGGGGATCAGAACCACCCCTAAAAGAGCCATGTCTTAGTCTACAGATCATGCAAGATTTTAAGACCAAACAAATACGTATTTAAAACATGGTCTTTGGAGCAAAAGCTAATGAATAGATAAGTTAGGAGAAGGGAAAAGCAATATACAATAAGCATTTGATGAGGCATTATAATTAATGACATTAATCAGTTGTAATTAATATTATAAAACATGCATGAAAGATTAAATGAAATCCAATAGGATTTGTCAACTTTCCAAAAAAAGAAAAAAATGGAAAAAACAAAAAGAATTGGCAATATAAAATCACCAGTTATCATTGAGATCAGACATCTTGATAATACTGTAATTATTTGCCTACTAACAAGGACAATTTTTCATGACTTGGAGATGTTCTCAGTTTGTCCGACTGAAGTGTTTTTCCCTAACAAGTGCAAATGATAAAAATAAAACGTGCTCACGGCGCTGGCTGAAAATCGCCTGTGACTTCATCCATAGCCACTGGTGAGAGTCAGCGCCCAGAGCCATCAGGGGCTTTAAGCTCCTTGCCCACTGCTGTGGTGTGGACAGCTGAAACCCAGGCCCC